TCTTGTCAAACTTTTAGTATCTCATTTTAAAGTAAAAATGGATTGTGTGTTCATGAATTTCCCAGTTTTCTTGGGATGGATGAGATACAGGATGTCTGTGTGGATAGTCCGAGGAAGAGAAAGAGAGGGCAGAAGTCATTTCTGTAAGCTGACTGTTGAGGACTGTGAGTCCAAGACAATCACATAATCCATTTATAACCACCAAGTTAATAAGCTCTCACTCTCAAACATACCCCTTCTTTAGAACGAGCCACTTCTGGACAAAAGTGGGCTCTTGTCCACGTGACCAGAGTCACATTCTGGAGTCCCATGTCTTGTTTCTCACAACTCCACAAAAATCAGTTCATACAAATATCATTCTCAGAGTTTTAACATATGATTACATATAGTGTGTGTGTGTGTGTGTGTGAACTCTGAACATAATCTTCTCATTCGTTGTTATAAGCTACATTGTAAAGTAGCTTGTCCCTCTGTTTTGGTCCAGAGCATCCTAGTTGCCTCAGTCTTAAAAAAAAAAAAAATACAGAATGAAGAGGCCAGTCAGTGACCTTGCCCAGGTCAGACCACATGTGGAGAAAGGCATCAGGCCATACCATGAGAGGCATCTACAAATGGAATTATTTGCAGAAGAATGTATAGGCTGCTGAAGAATTCAAGTCATAAGAACAGCTTCCCCAGCCCCTTCAGGCCTAGCCCAAGCCCTTGAGGAGCACTCTGCTCCCTCCCCTCCAGTCCGGAGGACAAGGGGCTGTGCTTACTGTCACATGTCAGATGCCAGGATGTTGGAGTCCACTTGAGAGAGGCAGAAGAAGGTCCCACGGGAGGAACTATATTCTTCCATCTCTGTCTCCTGGCCCTTCTAGGCCCACATGCTGCCATGGGAATGATCTCCCTTTCAGATCTCCCACCAACCTTCCTCATGCCCCCATGCACAGGAGGCGGCCTCATACCTTACATGCTCAGATACTCGACATTTCCTGGGGCTCTAACAAAGATCCTTTGTGCTTCCCCAGTGACTTTCACACACAATGACCCGAACTACTGGTTAAACTGAGCACAGAACAATAGAGTCCCCTAAGAAGTCAGGACACTCCTTATCACTAATGTTTGCAGAGAAGTTGGATGTATTTTAATGTCTATCAAGAGAACAGAACAGACCAGCTGGCTGGAAGGATCCCCCTGAGATCATATGACGTTCAGTAATGAGATCAATCAAATTTAACCCCAGTAGTTTCCAAATTCATTGCAGGATTCGAAGGAGTATTTTTCCAGTTATTAGCAAGGAGGAGCCAATTTGGTTTCCTTCTCTGTTGCTAGTGCCCCTGGAGTTTGCACAGGATCACATAAAACGAGAAGGCTATACAGTGCAGCCTGCTGTCTCTTCAAGTCATTTTCTACTAATTAAGCAAGAAGTTGTGTTCCATCTGGATACAAGGATATGGAAATATAATGAGGTAGAATAGAGGGAGAGATCGCGTCCAAAAAATAAACTGCCGAAGTTTATTGTCAAAATAAGTTTCCATTTTATTCAACAGGATGACTCTAGTGTACACCTTTGTTTAATGAACAGAATGCAGAATTTTTATTTCCATATTCATTTTAGTCTAACTTGTAGTAATCTGGACATGAATGGTGAACTTGCTTTACCAAAGAATATGACTGCTTAGCTGAATTGGCATGTCCCAGAATCATCTCATTTCCTAGATGCCCTGAGCCTGCTTGCGAGAGCTAGCATCCATCTCTTCACCAAAATTAAGTCAGGGGCTCACAAACACCCGTATGCATGTGTGATAGAAATGGACTGATTCCTGTAAATGGTCACTCTCCACAGGGTGTTTATGAGTAGGTATGTTTCCACATGTGCTGGTATTATCAAGTGCTAGCTCCCATCCTTCTGCTAAATGTGGAAAATCAAGTGTCTTTGGGAAGAAGAAAACACACACTGAAAACCCAAGTTTCTTTTCTACCACACATGAGCTATGGAGGGTTAAGTGGACTGGAGTGGGGGTCCAGGACTGAAGGGGACCTGAACTGCACTGCAAATAAATAACAAGAGAGTTTGCCTACATACTGTTGTACTTTATGAATTTGGGGAAATTTGAGATATAAATTTCTTCATATGAACATACCTTTCACTGGAAGAATATAAAAAAATGATAAAACTCTAGTAACTATTTTTAAAAAGTATTTCACCATTAAATTCCCAGATTAACACTTTTATACTGAAAAAGAATGGGGTGCTAGGAGGTCACTCTGAAGAGTCACTGCATTGACTTTTGTCTGAATTGGTGTATCAGGGTGGTAATGGGCATTTTCAGAAAAGAGACCCCTTCTTTGGGAGTGTGTCCAATTAAATCCTACTTGCATCAATGGAGTAGCAATCATATTCACTTGTGGCTGACAGTTTCGCTCTCACAATGAAGTGAACCATGGTGAGTTAGGGATGGCATGCCATTTGTTGACAAAATGACTCGAAACATTTGTACTTCAGTTAAACTCTACTGTTTACAAGTCGGCAGATACAGGGAGGGGCTCACAGTTTACCCACAAGACACAAATTTACAAAGCCATGTCCGGATCCCTTAAAATAACAGGACAGTGCTGGGCAGTGGTGGCGCATGCCTTTAATCCCAGCACTTGGGAGGCAGAGGCAGGGTGGATTTCTGAGTTCGAAGACAGCCTGGTCTACACAGTGAGTTCCAGGACAGCCAGGGCCACACAGAGAAACCCTGTCTCGAAAAACCAAAGAAAAAAAAAAAAAACACAACACAAAACAAACACAGGACAGTTTGATGCAAAAAAGCAGGAGAGGACGTATATAGGTGTAAATTCTAAGTGAGCTATGTTCCTAGAAAAAGCACACTGTGAGCTGCAGAAAGGGTTTTTTTATCCAAGAGGGAGTCACACACATAAAAATAAAATCATAATATTCTACACTATATTACAAAAATAAATATATTAATCAATAAATATTAAGAAGCCTAGAAACTTTTACATGGCTGTGCAGGTGGGGTGAGGTGGCTACCAAGTGTCCCCGGTACTCAAGAATCATTAGATTTATTAGCTTGTTCCATCAAAGCAAAAGAAATAAAAAGAAAACAAGACCGGTATGGGCAAGCCACAGTGGAAGATCTGTCATTGAAGAAATGTGTCGGTTATGTTTCAGTTTGCTGAGAGCCTGCCCATTCTGTGGTTTCAGGTTAAGTCGGTGAAGTGGAAAGGCGGCAAGCAGCTGTTGGGAGAAGGGAGAAGAATGCTTCTATTTATGGCTTTTGTCACTCCATTTTCTGATAAGGAAGCAAATTCACAACAATAATGAAAACAGTAACACTTGAATATCCAGCACGTGGCTATCTGCACGCCTTTCTACAAGAAGGCCGCCACGAAAACACCGCTTCCATTTGTGCTTTAGTAAATGGAGCAGCATGTGGGGTTTGCAGACAGCCTCAACTGTCACCTCTTTCCAGAAGCTCAACTAAGTCTCTCCAGAGGCTGCCTGGGCAAGCGGCAGTGGGTATGTCAGGATACGAGAGCTGACATCTCTAGTATCAGAACGTTAATGTCAGTGATGTTCTGTGGCCAGAAAGCATGCAGCTCCAAGGACCTGGCTGTTGTGTTTTCCTGGAGTTGGCAAGCCATTTAGCATCACATGACACATCTAAACTATTGAAATTACAGAGCTGAGCCATGACTACAACTTAGAACAAACTACTCCTACTAAGCTAAAATTTCATTATTATGTCCGTGATAGTGTCCTTGAGAAAGGCTCGGCAGTACCGTGGAGTATGAGTATGTGTGGTGTACCATAGAGTGTGAAGGCTGTACCATTTCCTCAGGGTTGCTGGCATGGCTAACCAATGCCAGCTATACATGTACAGATTCATGCATGCACTCAAGCACATGGTGTCAGGAAGAGGCTAACATGGATGCTTCTTAGTTGAATACCCATCTCAGCCAACACAATGTTCCTCACCATGTTCCCATTGATGATCAAAATATTCCACTTCCAGGGCCACAGCTTCTCTGAGATTTGTATTTTGACTCACTAGGTATATAGAGTTGAAGTCCAAATTTGGAAAATACCTGTCCTTGATAGAACAATCTGAATATACAGCCCTAAGAAGTTTATGGAAAGAAAGCTGATTGCTAGCCCGGCATTAGTATATATAACCAATATGGTAGGGTTGGGCAGTATACTGAGGTCATAGTCCTGCTTCTCATGGGAGTCACTGTGCCACCTGTCTGCAGATGCTATGGTGACTCAGGACCTGCCTGCTCTAGCTCCTCCTACACAGAGTCGAGGATCCTAACAGGAATCAGTGGGGCCAGCACCAGGGTCTCAGTGTCCTTACAACCTTCTTACAACCTTCTTGGTGGACAAGAATTTCAAATGGAAAGGAGGGCAGAGCAAAAAGAATGGGGGTGCTAGCGGATTTCTCCCAATATCAAGGCTGATTTCAAAGTTCAAGCACAACCCTTGAGTGATCTGCTTATATTTCTACTAGTTCATGGGCTTGGGTGTATTTGCTTGGACTCTAGTCTTCTTCTGTTCTGTATTCTTCATGAAAAAAAAATAGCAGAAAGTATAAAACTCAAATCAAATCAAGTTAAATTTCCAGAATGAGTCTAGAAGTCAGATCATTAGCTGATTTCCCACTGAGGGAAAATGCTTTTAGGTGCCCCTGTCATGTCGTGTCTGGTGCCTCCTCCTGGTCCACATCATGGCTGAGGAAGGAGAGAAAGACAAGAAGACAGGAGGCATGATCGGAAGGAAATTAAACAAAAGGAAGAGGATGGAGGAGAAGGCAGAGGTGGCCAGTGAGGAGAAGGTCATAAAGTGAGGAATATTTTCAACTGTGTCCATCAAACAGCTTCCTTCTCAAGTCCTCTCAGTCTTGGATTGTTTTATTTTGTCCAAAAAGATATAATTATCCCATTAGAATTGTGACAGTTTTACTACCACACCTGAGGACACCTGTGCGCCTCCCCCATCCCCCTCCACCACCTCCATGGCCCTTTGTAACACTAAGGGGTGGCACATGTGGCCTTGCCTCTTGTTGACTAAGGGAGTGCCAGTCCTGAAAGGCCTTTCCCCCCACCTTTCTTGACCAGGCACTGTCCTCAGGAGTACATGGCCCTGGGGCCCATACTTTGCAAGGGTATCTCTGGGAACATTGTCTGTCAAGGTCATTTGTTTTGTGTTTCTGACAACCCTCTCCACATCTTGAACCTCATCAAGCCTGCTGCTCTGAGCCATGGCACATACAATTGAAAAGAACTATATTTATATTCCCAGAACATTTGGGAAATATACTTCTCTAGATGGTTAAACTCCTGATATGAACTTTCTTGGCCTAAATCCCATATCCTATAACACACACATTCAGGCGGAAGCCACTCACATGTTGAATATAGTCTGCCTCTGTTGAGCAAAAAGATTTTCCTGAGTTCAGGTGCACCTGCATGAATGTGCACAAGTATCTGTGTGTTGATGATACTGCCTTCAGGGTTTGCTCTTTCCAAACTGACAGAAAGCATAAGTAGTACGGGCCTGTGTTTTGTTGTTAAGAGATGGTATCACTGAGAAAGAAGAGTCCAAAGAAGATAACTGGACGGGACTGGATTTTAGAGAAAAATACACATTTCCTACAGCACACTGACCTGTCCAGTTCCCTAAGGTGGCAACCTCTATTATCTGTACACCTTCATTAAATAGTCTTATTAAATAGAACACAAAATATACACATCTGTAGTTATTAAATAAGCAATAGGACGCCTCTCCTCTTCTATCTACAGCCACATTCAGACACGGCCATTCCTTCGTATTTAAACTTGTAGGTGACAACACCTTTATCTAAATAGAGGATGGAGATGGGATCCAGCTTTGTGGGCACGCAGCAGGCTTTGGAAGCTTTCTGGGAATTCTTGAGGTGAACCAAGGCCTGGATAATTGCATGTTTTGTAGGTGTGAGGTGCTCTGCCAGAGGGTAGTTACACACACCTCGGCATTCATAGGCCTCGTACCCAGGAGGAGCGATGATCCAGGAGTCCCAGCCAATCTCCTTGAAGTCAATGTACAGTGGAGTCTTCTTACAGTAGTTCCCCTTGGCGTTCCGCCTGATCCGAGTAGAAGAGTCATCGATCATGTTCGACCGCATCTGCAGCAGAGCCTCTTCATCGGGCCCGCTGAAGAAGTCATCAGAGTCCAGGTCCAGATCCTGCTCATGGGCAATCAATTCGTTCAGTTCTTCTTTCTGCTCCTTGTCATTGCTTTGGTCATCAGAAAACACAACAAGCAAAGGGTCATGCTTATTCTGGGCACTCATATCTATTTCCAGTTGTCCCCGTCCTGGGTCCTCAGCTTGGTTTTGTCTACTTTCAATGTGGATCTCCAACTGATGGGTTGATGGGCCTGACTTTTGCCAACGTCTGGTGGCATCCGTGACGTCAAATGTCTCCCACTCACTGTTGGTTCCGTAGATCTCTGTTGATACTAAGACCAGCCTGCTCCTCTCCTCCTCGCTACCATCTGCACTCTCTAGGACCTCAAAAATGGTAACTTTACGGTCCACACCATCATAGATCATACGATCTCTCTGTACCAGTGTGTACAACCTCAGTTCAGCCATGACGACCTCTTCGTGGTGAGGGATGGATACATTGAAGAGGAGAGGATATTTCCGGAGCCCATTAAAACTGACTGGTTGAGAAAACAGATCTAAAAAAGAAAGATACTTATGAGAAATCAGGCTTGCAGTATGTTTCATTATATAGCAGGTGCTTGTTTAAATAGTAAAAGGAAAGAAAACTTGCCCAGTGTGATGGTTTATATATGTGACACTATTAGAAAGTGTGGCTCTGTTGGAGTATGTGTGTCATTATGGCTTTAAGACCCTCATCCTAGCTGCCTGGAAGTCAATATTCTGCTGTCAGCCTTCGGATGAAGGTGTAGAACTCTCAGCTCCTCCTGCACCATGCCTGCCTGGATGCTGCCATGTTCTCCCCTTGATGATAATGGACTGAACCTCTGAACCTGTAACCCAGCCCCAATTAAATGTTGTCCTTATAAGAGTCACTTTGGTCATGGTGTCTGTTCACATCAGTAAACCCTCACTAAGACACCCGCCTGAGCTGCCTCACGGGGATGGAACTGGAAGGAATCTTGGAGCTGTAGACGAGGCCTCTGTTTTTCCAGCCAGTAACAAGCCATGACACGGATCGTGGAGATTGCTCTCTTGAACACTTCCTGACTAAAGATTTCACTGCTTTTGTTTGTAACAGGTGGTGATCTCCATGAAGTTGGCTGGGCCCTGGTCTTCACAGATCTCCATAGAACAGGGGTTGTTAAACTTTGGCCCACAGGCCAAACTGGGACTGTCACATGCTTTGGAAAGAAAACTCTGCCAGAGCCCAGCCCTGCTTGTATATTGCTGGAGTGTCTCTGGCTCATTTTGCCCAGCAGAGGCAGAGTTAGATACGAGCTATCTGGCCTTTTCAGAGGAAGTTTGCTGACCCTGTCCCTACATAACAAAGTTTAGCAAGGTCAACAGAGCAACCTTAAAAGAAGGAGTCTTAGCGATTGGTTCTGGGGTGTGTAGTTCTCTCTGAGAGTGAGAGAGAGAGAAGGTGAGTCTTAGGGTAGACACATTACCTTAGTGATATTCACTAGCATCCAGTGTGCAGTTGGACACATATAAACCACCCAGGATCTTTACATAATAGCTTGTTAAAGGTCCTTTGTATCAGAAGTATGTCTACAAATACTTCCGTATTGACTCTTTTCTCTTCTCTTCTCTTCTCTTCTCTTCTCTTCTCTTCTCTTCTCTT